TTATTATTATTATTATTATTATTATTATTATTATTATTATTATTATTATTATTTCTTCTTCAAATTTGTTGTAGCTGCCCAACTCCAACAGACTCTGGGCTGTGTACAAAACCAAAAAACCATAAAAACAAGTAAAACATAAAACCACACAAACAATCCGCACTACAACAATCTTAAAAGCAACTCAGATCACAACAGGACCTCCAAAACTATATTAGTACATTAACCCCAGGCTTAGGATCAAAGCCAGGTTTTAAGAGCTTTCCAGAACCCCAAGAGATATGCTGCTGTGACCATGACAGAGAAGGCATGTTTCCTTGGTCCCACAAGATGTCAGTGTTTAATAGAGGGGACCTGGAGCACACCCGCTCTGCCAGAACATACCAGGCAGGTAGAGACGATTGGAGACAAGTGGTTCCTCAGATATCCAGGCCCTATGTATTGGCCCAAACTAACAAGTATTATACTCTCAAATGTTTGGCAAGGAGATTTAACTATTTATCTGTTTATTCAGTGATAGAACCATTCAGGTGACTTACAAGCTGGATATGTCAGGAGAAACATAAACATTAGTTGAATGGAGTGGGAATGGGCTCCTGAAGAAGAAAAACAGAAAGAGATAGGGGCAAGAATGAATGCATGCTGAATGAATGTGGAGTGAATACCAAAACAAATAACTAGTACAAAAAAGTATGTTGAGTTGGTTTGGTCATAGAGGCAGTGTAGAAATTGGATATGGTGGAAACATTGCTGTTTTGGAAGGACAGAAGCATCTGAATAGATTACAGAGGATGGTGTTAGTGTAAACTAGATTCAGTTATATTTCCTTTTCTTTTTGCTTATTTCTTGTTTTTAATTTATTTTGTTTGCTACTTTTATTCTTTTTCCATACTTTGTATAACATTATTACTCCAAAAGGGAATGGCATGATGTGTATGAGCATAATGTAGTTGCCAAAATAGAAAAATCACACTAATTAGTTTTGTTTACATATTTCTCCCCACATGGACATTCATACAAGATTGTTCATTTATAACTGACTTGCTTTAATGTAGATAAATGTTATTTGACATTGTTGGCCTAAGAAATATATCACTGTCAAAGTTCCCAAGGAAACTGCTGAATATGAGTGTGCAGGATGATGCCATATGACCCAGCATGTATATGATACTTCAGAGAAAAGGTATCTAGTTCAGAATCTTATTAATTCTTTTTAATAAAAGTCCAATACTTTTTTGGAGGATTTTTCAGAGATTTAACTCACCTGTTTAGCATATTTATGGAACAAATGGGCAAAAAAATCACACTGTTGAAAATCAGTGGTAAAGCACACATTCTGCTTTATGATGTGGGGTGCTGTGGGTGTTTAGACAGTGTGTACACACTGCAGGTTCCCACCTGTGCCCTAGCCGTGATGCCATGTTGCCAGGTCAGCAAGCAAAATAAATGTAGAGACTCTTCATTTCTGCTTAAGCATTGGCTGCAGTCAGTTCTGTCACCTATCCCAGCCATGAGGGTGAGCTGACAGCATTTTTCTCCTTCTTTTCCCATCAAAATGTTGGTTACTTTATTAGCAGAATCAGGTTAGTGTGAGAATAAAAGACTTTAAATATGCAAGTGCATGCAAATGAAATGAATATATTGTTGTAGCAAGCTTGGACTAAGATAGCATGAAAAGTAAAATAACAAATCATAATATTATTGAATAAGCTGTGTTCCTTCTTACCCATATATAGGCCATCATAGAAATCTCAACTTTAAAACATGAGTTTCCCAACTAAGGATTTTTTATATATACTATAGAAGGCAGAGAAAGAAGAATTTAACTGCTCCTAGTAAAATTGTGGGGGGGGTGGGGAGAGGATGACTCAGTTAAGTGCTTGATGACTGTCTATTTTTTATCTCTCTTCTGCAATTGATGCAGAAATCATGCAGAAATTGATGCAGTAAAGGTCAATAATATGGACTACTTTCCCACTTTGAGCACGGCTTTGAAACTTAAAATGGTTTTCTGTACCCTTGTTTTCTGTCACCCCAATGCCACTTGTTACATATAAAATGTAAAAAATTCTGTAGAGGTTTCATATTATGGAAAGAAACACAAGATTCCTATTAAAATATGAGGCTAGTTTAGTTCTTAAATCAGTAGCTAGACTTTTGTTAAATAATACCTTCAGAATGTTGTTTTGGGGTTTTTGTGTGTGTGTGTGTGTGTGTGTGTGTGTGTGGTCTTTCCAAATAACATTATGTTGTAGGTAATGTGTTGTTGAAATACCATAAATGTTTCAGCTGGCAATCTTAAATACATCTGGCAGTTGGAAGATCAAAATAAATTCCTTCTGAATGAATACCTAAAGTTACCATGTCAGTTATAAACCCTTTTAAAAATTATTTTCCCAGATATTATTATCTCTGAAGTTTATTAAGTGGAAACATTAACGTTAGGTGTGAGATATACTGATTTTGGTTCATAGTTCATAGTCAAGTAATATCAGTTTGTAAATAAATATGCCACATTAAGTGCTTAGAGTAAAACCAAAAGTGGTATCTTATTTTTTCCCTGTCACCATTTTCACAGTAGTAGGAGACAAAACTATTTAAAAGTGTGTTCTCTGCAGCAAGTGAAAGCAGGTAGTTGAGCTTATCTAGACTCAGAAGTTAAGTGTCAGGCCTGTTTAATAGTAGGATGGGAGATTACCAGGTAACACTCTACCGAGGTAGATGGGAAAAAGACTAGGCCACATTACTTCCATATTGTTGCCAAGAGGTGTCCAGGAAATGCACATGGAGGTATTCATGAAGTCAGCAGAATTGGAGCTTAATTCAAAAGAGATTTTACCTTTTGCCTACACTCACAGCAACATGTTCTAATTTTGCTTTTATTTGTACACCCTTTAAAATATATAGCATAAATTGGCCAAAATTTTTCTCTGGTTTTCAAAGCCTTCTTTTGACACTATCTGTAAGACTCTTTCCCTGTATTTTTGTAGATTCTGAACTTCATCTATGTGCACATTTTTCTGGAGGCACTGCAGTGAGGAGTTGATAGAATATTCACTGTTCTCTGTGAGATGTCCAAGCTTTTTTGTCAGTTCTGTCAAGTCCAAAAAATTGGACACCCCACAGCGAACAGCGGATATTCTATCAAATCCTCACTGGAGCGCCTCCAGAAAATA